CCGCATCCAGATGACAAACCATGGCGGGTGCAGATACTTGATGCACAAATGGAAAATTAAAAACTCTCCAGTAATGTGCGGCAGTGGTCATCTGTAACAAGACCGTACAACGTATAAACTATTTTTAAAAAAACAGCTTTTTTTTTTACTCGGTAAGGCCCACTAAGCTATATAGCTCTTTTTCAGAAGCGACCTGGTCACAAATGATAGCTCAACGATTTGGCTTATCAAGTGGAAACTTTGACTCTAAACGCACGTTCATGAAAGTGGAGGGAAAAACCGGAGGACCCGGAGGGAAATTCACGCGATCACGGGGTGGGGGGGAGAACATGCCAACTCCAAATATACAGCAGGTGTCACGGTCGGGATCGAACCCACGACCTCCTGTATACCAGGCGAGGTAGTTAACATCTCCTAGCCACCGTGGCACAATTCCCGATCCACGAATTCGTAGGAGCCACCGCGGCGGCGGCGACGACGACACTCCGCTGCTTCTGACGCGGTTGTTTGCCTTGACCGCCTGAATGTGAAACTGTTTGTCGCTGCTCTGCATCTAACAAAAGGCGTACAAAAGCAGAAGTCAGTCGGTCGCGATTAGGCGGGAGAGACCGTGGCGGCGTGAGAACTGTTGGCACAGGAGTAGAGAATTGACACGACGAGGTGGGGGGGGGTGGGTGGGCAGTGCAACGTTGGTTGCTGAAACACACAGGAAGAGGCATCATCCATACAGTGTTTCCCCTCTCTCCCCACCGTTCAAGGATTATACAAACGCATGCGGGGGGGGGGGAGGGGGGGGGTACTGCCCGGTGTGAAACGCATGCACACACACATTCAGAGCTCGTGTTGCAATCGGAGGAGGATAGCCCCGAGCTGTTGGCATTTGAGTCGTGCGAGTGTGCGTGCGTGTCTTGGGAACGGTGGCGCAGTAGTTGGCGCTGCCATTGGTAGCTCACAATGCAACCGGGGGATAGCCCTGGGCTGTGGGACATTTTGAGTCGTGTGTTGTTCTATGTGCGTGTGAGTGTACATTGCTTAGTGCAGTGGTTAGCGCACTGTTCCATAAACCAAGCAACTGAAATAACATATATTTATATTACAGCTGAAGTATTCATCTTCTTGGTTCTTTCGGTAAAGTCACGTAGAATGAGAATAAAACAATAAAGCAAAATAAGACGATAAAATTCTCACGACGTTTCAGCCACAACACAAGTAGCCTTCTTCAGGTGAAGGAACAGCGCTGTCGTCCCGACAGTACCGAAAGAACCAAGAAGATGAATCCTTGCAGTCACGAAAGCTTTAAGTCGAAAAGCTGAAGTATTGTCATTACTTTTTTTCTCATCTGAACCGGTTCCGGGGCTGGTGCTTTGTGCAAACATCAGCACCAGGGGTGTATGTGTGTACGTACGTTGAACCTCTTTTGCACCGTACGTAGCCAACCGTGCTAATTGGAGGTGCAGGGGATGGACAAACGAGGGTGAGACAAAGGCGGCCGAGCGTCGTGAGTGGCCATACCCCCACACCCCATTGTGCACACTTACCAGCTCTCATAGGTGCTACTCACTAACGGCACTTGCCCCGGGAGTCTGTGGGCTACACGGGGGATCTTTGTCCATGGTGTGCACGTGAGGATTTCCCTTCCTTCCTCCCTTGGAGTGGCACATGCAAATATTCTCCTGTGACACAGGGTGTTAAGGAAACAAAGCATCTGTACTGGGTGTTGACCCTTCAGGCTTAACCCAAGTTTACCTTTCTTTACACGTGTTCAATTAAACTTCCACTCTGGCTTTTATTGCTACGAAGCTCATGGTCCACCCGAAATTGCATCCCCCTGCACAAACCACGGCAGATGCGGATACCTGATGCACAAATGGAAAATGAAAAACTCTCCAGTAGTAGTGTGCGACTGCGATCATCCAGAACGAGACCGTACAACGTACAGCGACGCAATGCCCGATCCACAAATACGGTAGAGACATCGCAACGATGATACGCGGTTATCTGGCTTGACCACCTGAATGTGCCATTGTAGTCGTTGCTCTGCATCTACATCAGCCATACGTCAAGATGAAGACCTGCACGGCGGTTTCGCGCTTTGCACACTCGGCTTGCAATACAGAGGTCGCTAGTTTACGTGATGGTGCAGGTTTCTCAAATCCTCCCGCCCCCCCTCCCATACCTCTCCCGTCGTCTCTCTCCACCCAGCAGCATACGCGTGTGGGTAACTCCCACCTCCTTCAAAAACATCAGGCAAGTGTTGAAAGAGTAGGCCAAATGCCCTCGGAGGGATTCGCTAAAGCTTCCCTTTTTTTCCTCCGGCGTTAACGTAAGCGAGTGATTGCGGGGCTGTGCACCTGTGTGCCGTTTAAATTATCTCAATTAAATTGCCCTCTTTTCCCTGGCGGATGTCGATAAAACATTGCCGGCACTCATTAAAATCCGTGTTGGGAATGTGACTTGGTGGTAGTGACAATAATAGTTTGACTATGGCCAAGAATGCTTCACTGGTTCCCAAGACCGTGTGCTCCACCCCCGCCATCAGATGTGCCCAATCTCATCAGATCTCGTAAGCTCAGCTGGAATTTTGGGCCTGGTCAGCGCTGACATGGGTGACCACCATGCATAACTTTCTGTCGGCTATGAAACTGTTTTGGGTTGCAGCGGAACTCAATGCAGCAATTAATTTTGTTTTACTGCACTGTCCTTACGTGTTCCCCATTTCTATGCTCTCTGCACTGACCAAGTATGGTCAAGCAATCGAGATGACTAGCCCGGCATGGGGGAGGCATTCGGTCCGGCAGTGGATTGGCATGTGGGCTATTAAGCATTGAATTGAAGATTGGAATTGTGACAATTCATTGAATCTCAGAGTGGGTGGTGGGGCCACGTGGAGGGCTAAGGGTCTGTGGAGTGGACGGGTAAATAATTGAACCCTAAAGTTTTTATTTTATTTTGTCTCCTAGGTTCATGCAAGGTACCCCGGAAGGCCGGCTGTGTAATTGTTCTTCGAGGTCGGGTGCGTGTGATTTAACGAGTGTGTGTTTTAATGAAAGCTGACTTATTAAGTGCTCTGGGCCTCCGTAGGGCCGAGCAGAGCCACGGAGCTCTCGCTGTATTGACCCCCGCGCACTAAGAGACCCTGCGTGTAATATTAATGTGGCATCGATTGACGTTGCCCGGGCGTTCCGGTTTTTTTTAAAGCACGCGTTCTGATGTCACGTCGGGGGTTAGCGCACCAGTGTTGCTCCGATCCCTTCGACCCCGGGTTCGACTCCCGCTCACGGTCAACACCGGTGACGTATTATCTGAACCGGTCCTGGGCTTCCCCTAGGTCGACTCAGCCTCTAATGAGTACCTGGTGCGACGTGTAAACATGTTTGTTGACCACACCACCCTCTCGTGTCCTGTGCCGGCCTTCATAGGCGCTGCTCGCTAATAGCATTTACTTCAACAGCCTGTTAAGGCTATAAGGGGGATCGTTGTCTTTTGTGTGTTGTCGGAGGGCAGGGGAACAACATCGGGCAGATGAGCGACGCTCACAACAATGAGCGGAGCGTCGAGTGGATTAACGGTAGAGAGTTGGCACAGTGGGTGCACAGATGGAGCATCTGCCAGTCATCTCAGTCAGTCAAGTTATGGCACCTGGGTCTGTTCCGTGACCTCCTGCCAGCGGGCCTTTGACACTTCACGTGGCCTCAAAGTGCACCTAGCTTGGCAGAGGCGCTGTGGTGGCATCACCGCCACTTAATGGTGAACGGCGGTTGTTGTTGTCGTGTGTTCTCGGCCGCCCCAGTTAAAACTAGATTTTTATTTGACCAGGTAAGGCTCACTGAGCTATGTAGCTATTTTTCAGAACCGACTTGGCCAAAATTGATAGCTCAACGAAGTGGCTTGTCACGTGGAAATTTATAGCAGCAGCCAAATAATCTAAACGAGTGATGATTCTAAAAGTGGAGGGAAAAACCAGAAGACACGGAGCAAAATCCACGCGACCACGAGGAGAGACGTGCAAAGTCCAGATATATGGGTGTCCAGGTTCAGGATCGAACCCACGACCTCCTGCATACCACGCAAGAGAGATAACATCTCGCCACTGTGGCACACTAGTTACACACCTACCGTGCCTGCCACGGTAGGTGCTCACACATAGCATGGCTCAGTGGTCGGGGATGCTTGTGTGTTTGTGCGCATGTGTATTAATGTGCTTGTGTTTGTCTATCTGTGGGGGAGCGGTGGTGTAGCGGTTAGCGCACTGCGCTGCGAACCCGCCGACCCGAGTTCGATTCCTGGTCACAGTCAATATTGGTGACGAATATCTGAATTGGTCTGACACCTTCTCTACATCAACTCGTCCTTAAATGAGTACCTGGTGCAGTGCGTATACATCAGCCCTGGGGAAACAAAGGCGGCCGGCCATGGTGCTGGCCACATCACCCCCTCATGTGCTGTGCCGGCATTCATAGGTGCTCGCGAGTAGCAATTGACCCAAAAGCCTGTCAAAATGTATAGGGGGGAACTTTTGTCACAGTGCTTATACCCGTGTCTCTTGCGTATTCCCGTAGCCTGTAACACCTGTATCGGTACAACCCGTGTCTCTCTAACCCAGTATCTCTGTAGAAGAAAGACGGTCAACGAATCGTGCGCTTTTGTGGCCGTCTGGAACGCTCTTCCTTCTAATATTTGCAAGCCACTGGAGCTATGCACTCTTAAATCTAGATTGAAAACCCATTTCTTTAGAACTGCTTTTTGTGTCTAGTTAGGTAGGCTACGTACGGTGCGAAAGAAGTTCAACACGTCTCAATACATACTGTAACACCTGTGTCAGCTCAACTCGTATGTCTGTCTACCCGAATATCTTCGTAGCCTGTAACACCTGCATTGGTAACAGACGGTGTCAGAATCAGGAGCTTTATTTACCTTAGGAGAAAACCGACGAGCGACGAAGCTCTTTTATCACTCGACGCTCTCTTAAGTCTCCCTCTCCGTGTGGCCGTTGTCAACAGGCTGCTCGACATCCCGCTCATCAGCATCATGCGGGGCCTGTGGTTCGTGGGCGGCTTCCACTGGGTCAAGGTGAAGGGCCGCCCGGCGTCCACCGAGGAGGCCCCCATCGTTGCGGTGGCGCCGCACTCATCCTACTTCGACGCCATCCCCGTCACCATGGGCATGTCCTCCATCGTGGCCAAGAGCGAGAGCCAGGAGGTCCCCATCTGGGGCAGTGAGTCTCCTCTTCCTCCTCTTCCTCCTCCCGCCTCTTGTTCCTCCTCGTCTTCCACCTGCTCCTCATCCTCCTCTTCCTCTCCCCATGTGACCTGTAAGACCGTGCGAGTGTCACAATCTTATAGGGACGACTTAGTCTTAACAGGGACCTATAACACCGCTTTGGCTAATTTGGTCCCGTTAAAAAAAAACTGAGTTTTAATAGCAACCGAGTGTTATTTTACTCCTGTTATTACCATTGTTGTGCTTGTTTACCCAGGAAAGGCTCTCCGAGTCCCATGAGTCTATTTCCGGAGGGCTCTGCCAAGTTTTATTAGTTGGGGGGAGGGGGGGTGGGCAGGGGTGATGGTTGCTATGTTTCATCCCAGTTAAGGTGTCATTCTTTCAAATTTCGCTAAATATGGACTGACCCCGGCACAATGGCCTACTCTAGCGAGCGACATCACGGGGATATTTAACGTGCCACTGCGAAGCGATCGGCGCGTACTAACAGGGCCCCCCAACACAACGTTGTCCTCCAGGGTCTCTGTAAGACAAACCTGTAAATCGTACAGGGTGCTTATGGGGAGAACAACTCGGCCCTCAAATCCTCTCGCTGGGTCGTTATGGAGGCATCCCCTTATGGTCTAATATGGCCGTTACAAGAGCCTTTACCAGCTTATAACCATAAACCTCATCTTCACAAACCACGGCAGCAGATGCCCATACTAGATACGCGAGTGCAAAATTTAAATCTCTCTCCGGCGGCGTGCGGAGACTGTGGTCACCGCACAGGACTGAGCCCCACGGAACTTTGGGGCTTACGAGCGGTCGCCGTTTTCACGACGTTACAACACTTCCTGGAAACCCCGCGTAGTCGTAAATGGGATTGTCGTGAAGCCGGAATGCCCGTTGTCCCATAGGCGGTAGAGACGGTGTTGTTTTTTTTCCTTTTATCAGCCTTATTTTAACGGGGTTTAAGCGGTAAAAATCATCCACAAACGCACTTGAGAATAACAAAAGCTCCATGCCGGAGTCATGTCAGAAACCAGACAGACTCTGTCCAAATGCGTTCAAAGTCATGTCGGAAGATGCGTCCTAAATCAAGCTTCTGTAGAATCGATTCGCGGTGCCGTTATTGTATAAACATCGTAAATGTGGATAGTTGTCGTAAATCGAACAGCTGTAAATCGAAGATCCCCGCCTGCATAACGACAACCCATTTTCCAATTCACGAATAAGGAGGAGGAGGCACCATCCCAGCAGTGATGATTCACCAGTCCGCCGCTACTCCTGACGCAATCGTGCGGCTCAACCACCTCCGATGTAGAATCATGAAGACAGCACCTTACCACCTCGCGGTAGCCCTCTTTGGAAGACTCCTTTACATAACCTTCGCTCCGTCCATTGGGTGCTTTGAGATATGGCCCCGTGCCACCGCGGCCGGGAGAGGCTGCGTGACCACGAGGCGTGACGTCGTGGTTAATCGATCGAGTGCAGCAGCGGTGGTGGCAGCGTTGCATGTGCGGGGGGGGCACAGCGCCCGTGTGTGTTTGTCCATGTGTGTGCGTGGTGCTTGGGGGGCCGTAGTGCAGCGGGGTTAGCACGCTGCGACAAACCAAGCCACCCAAGTTCAATTCCCGCTCACGGCCACCAACACCAGTGACGATATGAACCGGTCCTGTGCCTCCCCTGGGTGGACTCAGCCTCAAATGAGTACATGGTAGGGTGTATAAACATCAGCAGTGGGGGAGAGACAAAGGTGGCCGGGTGCAGCGCTGTTTGCCATGCCGCCACCTCCCTCGTACGCCGTGTCGACCTAACAGCGCTTGCCCCGACAGGCTGTTGTTGAAGGCGATACAGACGATCGTCTTTGTGGGGCGCGGATGCCATGGCACATCACAAGGATGGGACGCGTCCAGAACGCATTCCAGCATTTTCGTAAAAACGCACGAAGATGGGAAGCACATGGGATGGGTTAAACATAGCATCTGGCTCTACTCGGCCGAATCCCATCAAAGTCACGATGATGATGATAATTACAATAATGGCCTTTGTCTTTATCTGGATTGAAAACTAATTTGTTCAGAAGTGCTTATTTGTGTTTAGTTTGCTGTCTTTCCACCGCACCTCCGTTTAGCACGGTTGGCTACGTGCGGTTTGAAAGATGTTCAACATACATCTATATATAAGGGAAATTTGTGAATGTGTGTCTGTTCGAAATGTTTAGCATACTTCCGAACATGCAACAAACTTGAAATTCGGCATGTGGGCAGCTTCTAGACTGTACGCAATGCAAAAAGTATAAAAATAGACTTTTGTATTTTGGGGGGGGGGGGGGGGGGGGGGCGCAATAATGGATATATTTTGCATGGCAAGTGAGCGGTGACGTCACATCTGTGATGTCACCCGCATGCGGCAGCGTCACGCAGTGTACCTGCTGACGTCACGCATCTCCCCCCAAACCCACCCTCCGCGTAGGCCGTGTATTAATCCCAGACAAGAATCCAAGTCTCGGGCGAAGCCGAGTAGTAAAGCTAGTAATACATATATCCCGAAGAGCCCCACTGACTACCAGGACTCGTGGTTGGCGACAGGGTGGCACAAGTGGTAACACTCGCTCCTCACAGCAAGAACGGCCTGGGTTCGATTCTCAACACTGGCGGCTTTAGTTTGTATGTACTCCTCCCTGTTGGCGCAAGTGCTGTTAGTGAGCTTCTATGAAGGCCGGCATGGCACGCGATGGGGGTGCGTGACCAGCACCACGCCCAGCCGCCTTTGTCTCCCCCGTAACGATATTCCCTTGGTACTCATTTGAGGCCGAGTCGACCTAGGGGAGGCCCGGGACCGGTTTCAGATAATCGTCACTGGTGTTGGCCGTGAGCGGGAATCGAATTCTGGTCGCCGGGTTCGTAGCGCAGCACGCAACCACTGCACCACCGCTCCCCACAATATACACACACACACAGACTACGACTCGCTACTCAACTACACACTTTCGGCAATTCGCATCCCGATCCACAAGGTCAAAGCAGCGCTGGCAAAGCATTCGCCGTCATTGGAGCTCCTCGGCACGTAGGGGCATTTTCACTTTCATATGTATGTATCTTGAAGCTCTTTCGCAACGTACATGCCAATCGGGGGTGCGGGAAGGACAGAAAACTAAACACGCAAAACATTCACCCCGATCTCCTGTGACCTCGGATGCCGAGCAAAGCTATGAGTCAAGAGAGTGTTTTAATGTTGCAGTAGGCGCTCAAGTCGGCTTTATTTTCCCCGTGTAGCTGTAGGCTTTCCGGAAGTTAGGCGGCACAGTGGTAATGCGTTTCGATAGCAGAGGTTCGCGGTTCGAATTCAGCAGGCCGCCCTGGTTATTACTGCACACTCGAGGAGGGTGACCCCCCCCCACCTTGTGTACGTCAGAGACGTACGCACGGTAGAGGAGGTTGACCCCCCTCTTGGGGTCAAACTCCCGAGTGTGTCCATCTCTGGGCTTGGTGCTGTGCAACCGCCAGGTTGGCCAATGTTGCCAGATTGGGCCAGATTGTAATCTGCCCCCCCGCCACCCCCACCCCGCCGCTGCCAACTGTTCGATTGCAACAGAAAAAAAAACAACTCAACGTCGCGCTATCTTCCAGGCCTCGAGGCTCGCATTTGTGCCCGCGATGGATCGGTCGGCCGGCCGGCCAGCCGCTCTGTTTCCGTCGAGGAGAAGTAGGAATACAAAATACAATCTTGATTTTTTTTGGTTCTTTCGGTAAAGTCACGTAGGTAGAAAATTAATAGATCACGACGTTTCGATCGCAACACAAGCAACCGTCATCAGGTGAGACGAACACAGCAGGAGAACTGCTGAGGCAGGACAAAGAGCCGCTCCTACGTCAGCAGTTCTCCTGCTGTGTTTGTTTCACAAAATGCAAATTAAAAAAAAATTCCAATTTAAGCGAATTTGATTAATTGAGTAGCTTCGACGTCGTCGTCAGTCACGATCAATCCACTGCTGGACGAAGGCCTTTGCTTGCGTTTTTTTCTAATCCACTGGGTACCTGCGCCCGAGCCAATTTAATTGCTCCGCGTCCATGGTGAGGATCCTCTCAGATGGGTTTCGCCTCCCCCCCCCCCATCCTTTGTCTGACATTCCTTGACGAGTCTCGCCCATCGGCCAACTAACTCATCCTCTCTCTTCACGGCATGTCCTGGCCGAGCCCGCCTGCTTTTCTCAGCTCTAAACGCGACGTCTCTGATTTGTGTCCGTTCTCAAATCCACGTGTTCCTCGTCCCCCCCCCGTCTCTCAATGTAAATCCAAGGAATGCAACCCTCCACGCGTCTGGGTGGCAGGGTGGCACAGTGGTTTATCTTCCATTTACAATCGACATCACTACGCACTCGTTCACAGTATTTGGCCGCTCTGAATTCCCATGTGATCATAAGCCACTTCGTTGAGCTATCATTTGTGATCGCCAGGCCGCTTCCGGGAAAAAGAGCTGTATAGTTCAGTGGGCCTTATCCGGTAAGATAAAAGTGGTATGGTGTAATACTTGTGCATTACACCAAGAAAGTTCTGGGTTCGATTCCTCACTCGGGTTCCTTTGCGTGTGGAGTCTGTATGTCCCCCCCCCGCCCATAGCTATAAACACACACACACACAATGTCCATTGGTGATGGCCAAACATCCCAGTGTAGCAGCAGGACGCTCCTGAAAAAGATTATTCGGACTCAGTTGAGGCTTTCATGGGTAAATAATTAATTTTATGAGTAGCACATTTTCCAAAGGAGAAATGTTTATCTTGAATAGGCACGATAGGCTTTGTGTGCCGTGATTAATAGATTGTTTTACAATATCCTTCCTGGTTATAATAAATTAAGTGTACATCTCTCTCTCAGGCCTTTGCTGGATGAAGGCCCCCCCCATGTCGTGTCAGTCATGCGGGTTGTTTGACCATACTTCACCATCTTGGTCATTGGGGGTTGGTTAACAGGGGTGAGGCCCAGGACTGGTTCGGATGTCACTTGCCACC